GATTAATTATTCATATTTCCCCTTTGAGCTGATTCGCTACAGTCAGTTAAGTATTACTGAATATTAACTGTTTTATATAATAAAGCTGATAACCTGTGGCTAGGTGCCATGTGAGATGTTTAAGCCTTGTATGTACAGTATAAGCCTTACAAAGATCATGGCTTATTTTAGTAATTTTATCAATATGTAGGAGTAATAATATTGTAGTAGGAGTAATATTATTTTCCCTAATAAAGTTAATTGAATTAACTTTTTTATATTTTTACATTTCATTGTTGAAAATAGTTTTGTCTGCTGCTGTTTTTGAAAGTGTGACTCAGTGCCTGCCCTCTTATAAAGGAAGTGGGCAGGAAAAGGAAGTTGACAACCTTGTTTTTTTGGAAGTTGACAACCTGGTCTCATAAAATGAATCGGCGCTATAAGCACGCTCACCGCTTCCTCAGAGTCAGTACAGTACCGCGAGCTGATCTAGACAGAGCTCTGCTGTAGATCTTCTGAGAGTGGACGGACGCATTTACAGGAGCTGCTCTTGATTTTGCACTTTTCTGATTTGGATACAACATCGGATTATGCTGTAAGTGTCTATGATGATATCAAACGATTTATTGCATTTATTATTATTACTGTCTTGCTTTATTCTGCTGACGCACTTGAGCACAAGTCAAGTCACATTTATTTCTACAGCACTTTATGCAATACAGATTGTTTCAAAACATTCATTTCTAAGCAGTTCTACTGGCAATAACGTCATTATTCCACATCTATTGTACTTCCATGTTGTTTGCAGCAGATAATCTGCAAGGAGACATGACTATGACAGAACACATATGGACCGATCTGCAGACGAAAGACAAGAAAAGAGTGAAAGAGAAAAATGGCAAATCTAATGAACCAGGAGAGGAAAAGACGCTGATGTTAGTCAGAAGGAACAGCATTCATGACATCAGACCAAACTGTGAGTATTTATGATGTTTAAGACAAAACACATTTTCATGTCTTTAATCATCAACACTGTTTCTCCTTCTGTGAATGGGTCCGAAATAAACTATATATGAAAAAAAAAAACATTTGTACATTTGAAAGTCATTGTTTTTTTTAAAGTAACTTACTGAATTGAAGATCAGTTCATATTTCATGAATCAGTTCATCCACTCCCTGTGAATTGAACCCGTGATCTTGGTGTTGCGAGCACCATTCTTGTACAGAACTGCTGTAATCAGATGTTTGTTTTTCATTTCTAGTTTACTGCTGAAATCAGATTTTTGTTTTTCATTTCTAGTTTCTCAAGATGCAGACGGCTTCATTCTGATGCTTCAGAATGAGTCACAGACTCTCACACATCATATCCAGCAGCTGATTTCTGATCCTGGAGACTGACCTTCCTATAGAGTTCAGTTTTCTGGAGATCAAGCTTGTGTTCCTGGAGATTTGGGTTGGAGCTCATCTTTGCAGGAAGACAGATCTGCAGGAACAGGATCAGGCTCCTATAGGGGATATAATGATCCCAAAAATATGAGATACGAGGAAAAACTGCAGTTCAATGCTTTTTTTTTTTTTTGTGAGCAGATGCAAAATTTCACAGAGGAATGCAAGTGAACACAACATGTACCTGATAATGTTAACTGTGTTATTCAAGATCAGTTCATATTTCATGAATCAGAACTGAACCCGTGATCTTGGTGTTGCGAGCACCATTCTTGTACAGAACTGCTGTAATCAGATGTTTGTGTTTTCATTTCTAGTTTCTCAAGATGCAGACGGCTTCATTCTGATGCTTCAGAAAGAGTCACAGACTCTCACACATCATATCCAGCAGCTGATTTCTGATCCTGGAGACTGAGCTTCCTATAGAGTTCAGCTTTCTGGAGATCAACCCTGTGTTCCTGGAGATTTGGTTTGGAGCTCATCTTTGTAGGATCAGGATCAGGCTCCTGAGGGGAAATGGTGATCAACATGTACCTGATAATGTTAACTGTGTTTTCTAGTCCTAAGTGTGTGTTTTCTCTCTTTAGAAAGCAGCAGTTTCTTTCATCAAACCAGCAAAGTATTCTACATCACGTTCATTCCCTGATTAAGCAGTCTGTGTTTTATAGTCCGAGGAAAGGAAAAGCCTGAATGAGTCGAGGAGCTCCGGCTGCTCTGTTATAGTTTGAGTAACATTCATCTCTCAAATCAACACAAATATGATCAGCTTCATCCTGATGACACACTTCTCTCCTGATGGGAGTGTTGTCCTCCAGGATCACTGAAGGGTTTCAGGAATATAACAAAAACCTTCACAGTCACCAGATCTCCATCCATTTGAACACCTGTGAGAGACTGACAGCGCTCTGCATCTCCATCTAAACACCAAACGAGGGGATATCTTCAGGAAGAAGGAGCAGTGAACAAAACGTTCTGGAAAGTGATTTTGTGCCTCTCTGTGATGATGCTGAACATCGAGGCGTCACTCACTTACAGACCACAGACTAGTGTTAGATGAATTTTTTTGAATCCTTGATTACTGTATGTATTGTACTGCTGTATGATATTATATGTAATATAGCATGGTGCAGCAATGCCAGTGTCATATAATTCTCAGTGAATGCATGAAGTCATAAGATAGTGATAGCTTTAATGCAGTGAATATCAAACCCCTATATTGCATGCTTTTAAAGTCTCCTTAAAGTCTGAAAAACCCATTTAAGGTTGTGGAGTCTACTAATGAATTGATGACTGCATTGCAAGAAATATGAACTACAATAAAATATTTATATAACTGTATTGCAATAAATCTTTAAAATTCAAGGGAATAAACCTGGTTTACACTTTATATATATATATGTATATATATA